GGTGCGCCGTACCGCATTCTAACTTTGGGTAATCGAGGGTCAGACCTCAAAACGGCAGTCCTCACTTGCCAACGCGAAGGCAGGAGTCGCGCAAACATTTCTGCGTACGATGTTTCCAGCCTCGCATGCTTTCGGTAGTGACCCAAAGCTTTACGGTACGACGACTTGTGTGTCCACCCAGGGGAAATGAGACGAGTACTGCACCTCATAAAATGCACAGTATTTAATCAAAAATGCATCCCGAGAAGGGCCAAAATATGCCATAATTAAATGCATGTTTACTGGGTTCAGTTGCTACGACGAAGGTCCTCACAAAAAACATCTCACAATTAGCTATTGCGTAGTAAAGTTGACTTTAATTCTAAGGTTAGGCTGAAAGTTTGCCTCCCTATTTCACGGCTGGCCCTGGCCAGTTGACGCAGGTGTATGGAAAAGGCGCTTAGAAGAACAATAAGCAGCAAGGTCTTATAAACGTTATTATGTCTAAGTAAATGAAGAATTCCTTCACAAAATCTTTGAGTTGGATGGTACTTAGTGCTGTGAAAAAACAAGCAGTACAGGACAATGGAAACCAAAAAGATTTGCAGCACTGCTTGATTTGCACCTTTAACCGCCTGTATAAGACAGTGCGACCCCAAAATTTTGTTATTTTGCTCGCATCCCACTGGCAAACCAGTTAAGTGAATCTTGAATTTACTAATATAAAGAATGAGCACGTCGACTGCAAGGAAAATTATGAGGTTTAGGTACTCTACTTGAAATTGAGCAATGCTTTACTCCAGCATCACTACTCTGCGTTTATTTAATTTGAGTTATTTGGGAGTAAAAGATAAGTTAGACAAAAAGGAAGATGAGAGTTTTACAGATTGCTCTTTGCTTCGAGGAAGGGTTGCGCTTGTGCTGTGGCCTCCCTTATTCCCGGCTCCGTTGGAGGAGATTTTGTGAAGGCGTATGCGAGAGAGTGGCGACGGCTGTTTGATTTTTAAAGAGCAAAAACTGAATCTTTACTGAGACCTTGTTGACGGTAGTTTGTCGCATGATTTGCAAAGCAGTGTAAGGTTCCCGATTATTGTACCAACCGTAATTAGGCATTTATTAATAATGTCCACACTTTCAACTGTAAAAGTACCATGCAAAGCCACAATATGCAACATCGAAGCCATTTCGTGCTGGTGGCAAATGCCAAGGCGAAATGAGGTGATCTTTTCTTGATGCACATGAACGGAGCTGTGGGAAACTGTTCACGAACCGTCTAAAATTAGCCTTGCATTGAGGTCGAAGTGGGACAAATTTTACTGAATTTTTCAATAACGTTTTATTTCTGCAGTGACTGAAAAATAATTTTGGCAATCACACAAGCTCAATGGAAAGGAAAAAGTCAAAATTAATAACACACCACAGTTTTTATTTGTATTGGAAACTCAACTGAGAGTGTGGATGGT